CTTGTGGCAAGCCACTTAAAGGACACTGGTTAGGCTTAAAATGTTAATGTCTATTCTTACTTTGTTACTAACTCCGCAGAGAGAGAGACCCGGTCAGGACTCCTGGGCTCCTTCTCAGGTCTGAGCAGTGGGTGCGGTCTAGTGGTCAACATCAGGAGACAGATACATTTGGGCTCTAAATAAGATCAGCATGACCATACTGGGTCAGACCAATGGTCCATCTAGCTCAGTATCCTGTCTCCCAACAGTGGTCAATGCCAGGTGCTTCAGAAGGAATGAACAGAAGAGGCAATTAGCAAGTGATCCATCCCCTGTCACCCATTCCCAGTTTCTGGCAAACAGGCTAGGCGGGGCACCATCCCTGCCCATCCTGGCTAATAGCCATTGATGGACCTCTCTTCCTTGAATGTATTTAGTTCTTGGAACCCTGTTATGGTTTGGGCCTTCACACCACCCCCTGGCAAAGAATTCCACAGGTTGTCTGTGAATAAATATTTTATTGTGTTTGTTTTAAATCTGCCACCTATACATTTCATTGGGTTACCTTGTGTTATGTGAAGGAGTAAATGAGCATTTCCTTATTCAATTTTTCTATGCCATTCATGATTTTATAAACCTCTAACACATTTCCCCCTTTTAGTCATGTCTTTTCCAAGCTGAAAAGTCCCAGTCTTTTTAATCTCTATTCATATGGAAGCTATTTCTTATCCCTAATCATTTCTGTTGCCCTTCCGTGTATCTTTTTCAAATCCAATATATCTTTTATTGATGTGCTGACCAGATCTGCATTAAATATTTAAGATGTGGGCATAACATGAATTTATACAGAGACAATATGATATTTCTGTCTTATTATGATTCCCAATCTTCTGTTAGCTTTTTAGATTGCACATTGAACAGATGTTTTTGGAGAACTATCCACAATGATTCCAAGATCTCTTTCTTGAGTGGTAACAGCTAATTTAGACCCTATCATTGTGTATGGTTTGGATAATATTTAGCTATGTGCATTACTTTGCGTTAATCAACACTGAATTCCATCTGCCTTTGTGTTGCCCCCAATCACCCAGTTTAGTGAAATCCCTGTGTAGCTTTTGGCAGTCAGCTTTGGACTTAATTTTGTATCATTTGCAACTTTTGCCACCACATTATTTACCTTTTTTCCAGATAATTTGTGAGTAAGTTCAACAGTACTTGTCCTCATACAGAATAGTGGTAGAAATGTAGCCATGTTAGTCTGGTGTAGCTGAAACAGACACCTGGAGTGAACTCTCTGCTCACCATTTATTCCTAATCTTTTTTCCCTATCTTTTAAGTGGAGTATCTGGCAACGTTTCCATGATCATCTAAGGATCCTTCAATTACTTGAATGACAAATCTTTTATTATCTTAATCACCCTGCCTTCCTTTGTCTATAAACAAACTCCCTGTCCCAAAGGCAAAGCTGGGAGCAGTACAACAGATAAAATCTGTGTCTGGGTGTAGGACATGCACCTAAGTAGTCCTCAAATACAAAATTTAGAGGTTCAAACTCGAGTTGGGAGCATTAGAGGCCCCCTCTGCCATACCTAAATGGCACCCCTGAAAACGCTGTACATGGAAACATGCTGAAAAACCCATTGTCAGACTTAAATACTGCACCATCCGCCAAGCCGTATGAGCACTCTGTAGAATTCCTAGACTTTTTTTTTGCTGACTTCTGCTTCTCCAGGGGAGTCAAGGAAATATTATTGTCCTCACTTTGTAGATGGGGAAGTAAGGCTCAGAGAGGCAAGGGACTTAACTAAGGCTATGTCTAGACTGCAGGCTTCTTTCGAAAGAGGCTCTTTCGAAAGCATCTTTCGAAAGAGCCGCTTTCGAAAGATCGCGTCTAGACTGCAGGCGGATCTTTCGAAAGAGCAATCCGCTTTTTCGAAAGAGAGCACCCAGCGAGTCTGGATGCTCTCTTTCGAGGAAGCCCTATTTACATTGAAGAACGCCTTCTTTCGAAAGAGGAACTTTCGAAAGAAGGCGTTCTTCCTCGTGAAACGAGGTTTACCGCCATCGAAAGAAAAGCCGCGTTCTTTCGAAATAATTTCGAAAGAACGCGGCTTGAGTCTGGACGCAGGGGAAGTTTTTTCGGGAAAAGGCTACTTTTCCCGAAAAAACCCCTGAGTCTGGACACAGCCTAAGGTTGCACAGGGAATCTGTAGCAGAGCAGGGATTTGAACCCAGATTTCTTAGGTCCGAATTACTGCTCTAATGACTGACTCATCCTTTCCCCTCCTCTCAGTCAGGGAGCGTTTACACTGCTCCCATAGGTTGAAATAAGCTATGCAATTTGAGCTACGCAAATTGTGTAGCTTATTTTGAGTCAATTTCGAAATAGCTTATTTCGAAATTTGATGCTGTCTACACAGCACTTATTTCGAAATAAATTGCCATTCCAAAATGTCCCTTACTCCTCATGGAATGAGGTTTACGGAGACATCAGAATAACGAGCCCATTATATTTCGAAATAACGGGTGCGCTCAAAAGACGCGGAATAGCTATTTCGGGATATCTCTGATATCCCGAAATAGCACTGAAGTGTAGACGTAGCCTCAGGGAACCAAGTGGATTTGTATATATTTAACCCTTACTTTGGAAACTTCTGTCAGTTCTTCAGGCTGAATTCAGCCCGAAAGATAAATTCATGGGCCTGATTCACCCACTATACCAGGACTCCTCCACCATTGTGTTACTCCCTGGTTGCTCCATCATTAAATTACTCCACTGTGTTACTGAAATCAACAGTTACATTGGTGTAAAGTGGGAGTGCCACCCTGCTGAGTCTTGCCCCCGTTCATGCCGAACTGTAACAATTTCCTGCCCCGGCAGTGAGCCACCTGCACCTGGAATAGCTTTGGAGGCTTCCAGGCCTTGCAGCACCTTCCCTAGTGGCTGGATGGTGATTTTTACAGGAAAAGAGGCTTGGCTACGGCCTTGTAGCACAAACTGAGCGAATCCCCCACATGTCGCAGCCAGGAGATTAATTGGGGTCTGTTCCCGGGATGGTAGTGATTGAAAAGAAGAGGTTTCTTTGTTAGATTTGGGAAGAAGCTGCCCCTGAATTCCCCTTTTATTGGGCTCTGGTCTTTTTCATGTCTTTCTTCCTTTCTTCAGCTGGCTGATCAACACAAGCCTGCTCTGAATGCAGTAATGTCCCGCGCTCTCTCCCCCTGCCCTAGCACCATCTGCTCACCAAAGCTAGGTATTTCCTCTCTCCTCCTATGTTAAAGCTCTGCATCCTGGGCTCTATTGTGACATTTCACCCCCTCTCATTCCTTTGCCTTAACTTGCCTACTGCCAGGCTGCCTCCCTCCTCCCCCAACAAAACGATTGAGGTGGAGGGGAGAGGTTTTCCCTGGGTCTGTAAAGAAATGTTAAAGTGTGTCCAGAGACAAAGGCTGTCCCCTTTTCAACCTACCAGCTGCCTCTGGCACAAAAGAGGAGAAGGGGGGTGGGGCCTGTGTGGTCATGGGGGGCACTTTGTGACCTGAAAGGGAGAAAACCTTGAGAAAGAAACAGAATAAATATCCCCTCCTTCCGCCGCCTCTTAACAAGAGGGGACAGAATCAAACGCTTTTGTTAAGCGAGGGGCTGTCCCCACACCAGTTAACACGGCTTCTTGACGTCAGACTTTAACTCACTCCTCATCATGTCTTTCTATCCACTGGCAGAAAATTCAATTAGTCTCAAGCAAGTGCCTTCCTAAAGGGCACAGAAAACGAAAATAATGGGGAGAAATCCGCTTTCATCCTGCACAGAAAGGGACTTTAGGGGGGAAATACAGATTAGTGAGATAAAGAAACAGGTTTGGGCCTTTCCAAAAAGGTCTTTCTTTCTCCCTTCTCTGATCTGATCTGAGGCTTTCTGAGGGCCCAACTCTGTCCTTAATTACACTGGCATAACCTCATCAAAAGCACTGCTACTGGGTAGAGAGAATAGTGTATAAAGGCATCAGACCCGGGTTTTCAGGAGATGGTACTGAACCTGCAACTTTAGGGGCTAAAGCCATGCGCTTCTAGAGCACTGAACTAAAAGCCAACTGGCTCTTAGTTAAGGCTGTAGAGCAGACTTCACTCTCCCTAGTTCAGTGGTCTCAGTGCCTCTGGGTTACAAGTGGATCAGTGAGTATGTTTTGGTGTGAATGACAGTCAAAATTGGGCCTGTGTTCTGAACTGTGCATATGACTCCTCTGTCCCGCTGTCCGATCTGTACAAGGTGTGCACACTAAGCTGGCTTCATCCCATGCTGCACTCTGGGTTCTGGAACCACCGCACAAGTAGCTGTTAACTGGCTTTGTCTAAGGAACCAAGGATTTCCTTGGTGCTGTCTTTCTGTGGAATCACAAATAGTAAGAATCTGATGCTGCAAATTCTTATACCCATGACCAGCCGTTGCTCATGCAAATAGCCCCTTTGGCTTCAGTGGGGTCGCTCACAAGAGCAAAGGCTACTGGCATGAGTCATGGACGGTTGTGTGATAATGGCATATACTGTACATAGAATCACAGTGTTGCTTTCTTTTAGCTTTGGACAAGGAGCTTTATTTGAATAGAACCTCTCTGCCTAGAACCTCCCTCCTGCCTGGATTTAAATGAACAGTACCCCTCTCCTCACTTTGCCGTCTTCTTTTCTTCTGGGATTAGAAACCAGAGCAATGTACTATTGATGCCCTGGTAAAGAGAGTGGGTCACCAAAAAGTTTGCTGATGGTATTAAGTAGAGACTAATCAAGGGATTGCCCACTACAAACAGTGTTCCCTGTAAGCTCATCACTTGGGTGGTCGCCCCGGAGAAATTCAAATGCCACCCAGCTGCTTAGCAGAGCACCCACAACCAGCAGCTCGTGTTTCTATTGGTAGTGCACATCTGCACATGCCTTGGTGCACATAACATTTATTCTGCACAGGGATGGGAAAAAATTAGAGGGAACATTAATTATAACCTCTTCTCAGTCTTTATTTTCTGTCCGCAGCCAACTCCATCTTGCAACCTTGTGAAATACAAACATGGAAATAGATGCAAAGACAAATAATGAAAGCCGTAGAGCATTGGATGTGGCCATGTAGTCCCCAAGTTCTCAGTTTTCCCTACCCAGAACCCAAAAATCACCCCTGTGTGCCAGGATTCACCCAGCCTCATAGACCTTTTGCAGCCACAAAGGACTATGAGGTTGAGTTTATCGCAAGAAGCCATGGTGTTGGGTGGATGGTCCTGGGACTGGGGTTGGGGGGGAGGTTGGTGGGGGTAAGAATGGGGCTTGGGGAGGGGTTGGTGGGCAAGCTTGAGATGCTGGGTTGGTAATTGGCCAATGTGATGGAGGAAACGGCTGAGATTTCTAGCTTCTCCCATGTCAATGTGGGATTGCTCTCTGGTGTGCATCTTGTAGAGCTTTAGCTCATCCATTGATAGGACACACTTTCCTGTCCTATCTGGATGAGGTAGCTGTGTTCTGTGGGGACAGAGCAAAGCTGTTTCACATGTCTCTTTCTAGGAAGCTAGAAATTCTCCTTTTGAAGGACCATACACGGGGGGTGCATGCCTTCTGCGCAGAAGAGCAGGTGCAGAACATTGCGTACACATTCAGCAGCTGGATCCAGACCAGCTCAGTGATGAATGCATGCCCCACAGGACGGACAAACATTGAAAGTCTGTCTTGTGGAGAGCTACAGAGCCATGATGCATTTAGGAGCCCCCAAAGGATAGATGCCTGCTGACTACATAGGGACCCTCTTTTTGTTCTGTGTTTGTACAGCACCTAGCATAATGGGGTCTTGGTCTATGTCTGGGATCCTGGATGCTTCTGCAATACAATGTAGTACCAAGCAGTTTGTTGTATGGATCAACTATGACAGGGTGAACACCGAGCAGCACTTCATGTACAGAGGCTAGTTGGATACAGAGCAGTATTGGGTGTGTATGTATGGGGGTGGACAGGCAGAGCAGCAAAGCATGGGGCAGTACCAGCCAGGGCGGAGTGGCATGGTGAGGCCAAAGGAAGGGTATCGCCTCTATGCCCAGTCTGTCAGCGGATTATCAAGAGTGGTCAAACAGTCAAATATTTTCCTCTGATCATACTTCCTGCCCCCTGATGGCATTGGCTTATTCCTTGCTTCATCGCCCGCCTGCCTTTTCTTCCCAGGGCTCTGGGAGTTGCTTTTCAGCAGAAAACTTTCTGGTTTGATGGTTTTTTCAGAGCCTCTCTGCCAGGACACTCTGTGTCTTCCAATCACTCTTCAAATAAATTTTCTTCCCCCAGCAAGAACACTCCTGGACCACCTCAGCCCCCACTCCATCACAGAGCTTGTGCCTACAGTGCTGCATGCCAGAGATAAGAACTAATCTGCGTGTAGGGCTCTTGCAGGCTGGTGTCTCTGTGTGGAAATCAGCCCCATTCCAACAGGAGAGAGAAAGCACAGCACACAGTTTGTAAGTTGTATTTCCTGGGCCTGATTCTGAGAGTTGCTAAAATTCCTTGAGACTTGAGGACTTGGCAGCGGCTCCTGGACAGGAAAAGAATCCACAAACAAAATAAAAGTTAATTGAAAATATAAAAGGGAGGGAAAAATCTGACTGCCCCTGATTTCAGCATCTGTCTATTTTCTCTCCCACTAGGTGGATGCTGGAGACTGGTGTCTTGTGTCTTACCTAAACAACTGGTGGGATATTTATTTTTTCCTCTTCCTTCCCTTCTTTTTCGTATTTGTCTCTTTCATAACCTTCCTGTCACTGGGCAGATAACGAATGTGTTTGCTGCATGTTTCACTGAGTGTACTGTATAGAGGACAGCGAGTTATAAAACAGAACTGTTTGCTACACACTCTAGCTATGGTTTCATATTAGTGCATCTGTGTGTTTGCGGTGCATTCGCTTGTCCCCTCTGGCATGTCTTTCTGCTCAATGTACCATGGTGCCCAGGCTTAAGATCTTGAAGAATAGGCACGGGGAGTAGACAGAGCCATGAAGCGATCGGAAGGAAGGGAAAAGAAAGACAGGAAAAGAGGGAGAATGAGATCGGGGAGTGGGGACGTGGAGAAAGGCAAAGAAGATTATTTTTGTCTCCTGAGCTTTCTCCCCAGCCAAGTCCCCCAGTCTTGGCCCTGCATGGCTGGAACATCTGTTGCTGAGAAGGGAACAGTAAACCAGTTGTGCAAATATAATAAAATGGGATGTCTCTCTGTCCCTGGAATTCCTGCCAGGCGGCACAGACCTATATCCCATCAGTGCTGGTTAATCAGTGACTAGTCGGTAGCCCTGAGCACCTGCTAGCTGCTTCCATCTCAAGGCCATAGGGAGAGGATAGAGGACAACATTTTCTTCAGCAGCTTCCCAGATAACATCTGTTCTTTACTGAGGCCAGGTGCCGGGAGCATCTTTGTGGCTTTGAGGATGTTACACGTGCACAAGCGCCTGCTGACAGGGGTCGTCAGTGAGTTGCCCGTCTTATGACAGCACCATGCGCCGACAGGAAAGCACATCCACTTGTCAGCAGCACAGGTGGTTTCTGTAAAGGCAAAGCAGCTGCTTGCTTGGAAAGTTTGTCTCGCAAAGGAGTTGACCACCAGCCTCCTTCTTTCTGGGCCTGCCCCATATAATTTCAACAAGACTGGAGTTCTGCATCTCTCCTTCCAAAGGGAAAACCAGGCGCGCCCTCCCAGGACACCCTGATGGGCAGTGCAAACACACACGCCTTACAGACACCTCCCTGGACTTGTCCCTCTCCCCCTCCCATTGTGTAGCTATCATGCAGAGCTGGTTTCAGCCTGAATCCCTGTCACATACCCAAGGCTCTATCCTATTCAGCACAGACAGGCTTTGGGAAGCTGTGGAGCAAAAGCATCCCCCATTAACTAGGGTGCTGCTAAGCAGCCTGAGGCCTAGGCTCAGCACTTAGCACCTCTTTTGCTAATAGAGGATCACATTTAGCAGTTGTCTCCAATCAAGGCCCCACCCTGAAACTGCCCACACCTCACTCTATTGTTACCCAGCAGGAGGGAGGGGGCCTTGAGAGGGAGGGAGGAGGTGTGGCAAGTTTAAATAACTCTGACTCAGCATGTAGGACAGTGCTGGGTCCTTAACCTTACTGGGCCCCCACACAGTCTCTGTGAGGCCTTGCAGCCCTGCACTGCTAAGGCCTAGGAAGAGAAGTGGGGCAGCAGACTAATGGTTAAAGATGTGGTTAGGGCTGCTGGAGCTAGTACAGGAGCCTTTCTCCTTGGGAGACTTGGGATCAAATGCTACCTGGGTCACCTGTTAGAGGAGTTGGGGATCTCAGCCAGGCTTCCTGGAAACATGTTTCCATGTAACAAACCCAAGGACGTTGGCAGCCTCCCCTCACCAGAGGCCCAGGGCTC